TGACAATCAGCTGGAGGGCTATCAGCTGGGGGTCTAGCTGTCATCTGTTTTTCCTTTTCTTTACGTCTATGAGCTGCGCGCGTGATTCTTTGCTCCTTTCCATTAGCTTTTGAGCTTTCATCTAGATCTTGAACCGAAGCCAAAGGAAGATCCACAATCATCTGCTCAGGCACTTCAACCCTCTGAGGTGTAGGTGGGCACAAGGTCCCTTCCAACTCTGTTATTCTATTCTATTCTATTCTATTCTATTCTATTCTATTCTATTCTATTCTATTCTATTCTATTTTAAGCTTCTTGGATGAGAAGCGAAACGTCTTCAAGGAAAAACAAAAGTCCAGTTGCCTATTGAAAAAGCACCTTTGAGACTGTTTCTCCAAAGTGACAAATTGCATTAACATTGGCTTCCATCCACAATCTGAAATTCTTTCGAGACTTTAACAAGATTTGGTCTGAACCTCAGTCTTATTTTGTTTGTATATTTTGTGGCTATAAATAAAGTGATAAATACTGTTAAAGTTGCCTGTACTCTCAGAGGCCCAGTTGTGAGATATATGAGGAAGGAGCTTCTCCTTGGTCAGTTGCAGGCAACGGGGTGCCTTTCTTCCAGAAATAAATTTATTTCTCCTTCCATTTTCAATAAAGGAATTAAGCCTGTGCCTTCCAACCATGTCTTTTTTGAATTGCACCATTAATAAAGGTAATTGCATGTTAGCTGATAATAATTTAGATTGTTTACCTTGAGTGCTGTATAGATAAAAGGCAGGAAATAATAAGAACTTTTATAACTTTAGAAGTGATGTTTGGGGAAGGGAGTAGCTTAATGGCAGAACACGGGATGCTTTTTATGGAGACGGGCCCAGCTTCTGTCCCTGGTTATTTGCCCCAGCAGTTGAGATATGGTGGTTGATCAGAGTTGATTGGAGAGCAGCTGTCACAGAAGCTGCCAAGTTAGTTGAAAAACAGGCTCACTCCTGTAGTGGGGTGAGGCAGCCTCTGGTTATCTGCACACCTTTGCAAATATCAGGGAATGGCTCAATTATTATAGGCAGCTGGAACAGCAGCTTGGATGCTTGTGATTAAAATTGTGTTGGAAGGAAGGAAGGAAGGAAGGCAGGCTTAGGGAGGGAGGGAGGGAGGAAGGAAGGAAGGAAGGAAGGAAGGAAGGAAGGAAGGAAGGGGTTTCTGCCTGAATGCAGCTACTTTTCCCAAATTTACTCTCTCACGCATATATTGCACGCAGGAAAGTTATAAAAGTTTCTCATCCTTTCATTTCTTGCTGCAGTCATTTGGGAAAACTTCTTCATAGACTGGAAAGTAGGTGCTCCCGTATCATTGGAGAGAAATTTGAAGAAAAGTCATGAGCTTTGAAATGTTACAAACTTCACTATTAACTTAATTTGGGATCCAAGGTTGAGTTGGTCCTGGTCCAAACTTTGCTATTTTGGTGAATCTTGACTCAATGCATTTTTCATAGGTGACCTCGGCTTTTAAGAAAACATGGCAACTAAGTTGAGAAATGAACTGCAGGTGGTAGTCCTCAACTTATGACCACAATTGAGCCCAAAATTTCCATTGCTAAGCGAGACCGTTGTTAAGTGAGTTTTGCCCCCCCATTTTATGACCTTTCTTGCCACCGTTGTGAAGTAAATCGCTGCAGTTGTGAAGTTAGCAACGTGGTTGTTAAGTGAATCTGGATTCCCCATTGACTTTGCTTGTCAGAAGGTAATCACGTGACCCCGGGACACACTGCAACCCTCTATATAAATAAAAATGTAAATGTTCGTTTGTTCAAAATCTTAAATCTCCGAAAGTTCTTCACCGATTGCTTTGAAATTTTGACACAACGTTGCTTCGAATACGCGCGCGTTTTTATATACCTACTATTATATAGATGTCATACCTGTGACAGGTAAAAACATGCTTTTTTTGAAAAACAGCGCCATCTGTTGGACGTAAAAGCAACACACGCTTTTACCAGACTGAGCCACAGCAACGCGTGGCTGGGTACAGCTAGTCATAAATATGAGTCAGTTGCCAAGAACTTTCATCAGGTGACCACGGGGATGCTTCGACAGTCCTAAATGTGAAAAACTGTCATAAGTCACTTTTTTTTAGTGCCATTGTAACTTTGAACTGTTGTATGTTAAGGATTACCTGTATTGTCTGAAGGATCTGTGTAGCCTCTTTTAGATGACGCTTGGCTGTTTCTGCTGCTAACCAAGCCTGTGATTCCCTCAGGTGGTCTGAAAGCAGCCCTGGCTGCTGGACTGGCGTGCTGGCTGGACGAGTCTGGACTCTCACGCAGTCTGAGGAACATCTGTGGTACACCTTGCATGAGGAGGAGAAGGAGGATGGGGGCAGAGAGGAGGAAGGCCTCTCCGAACCTCCCATGAAGAAGAGCAGGAAGCAAGCACAGCCGGAACCTAATCGTGCTGGGACAAGCGAACGTCCGGGCAGCCATTTGCCTGCAGAGCTGGCTCGGGGAGCAGATGGGTTGACTCCTTCTCAGATCCTCCAGGACTATTTCCAGCTACACGTCAACGTGTCTGCCTTATACCAGGGTTGGTCTTACGTTGACTCACATTTCCGGGAAGTAGGTGTTAAATTCCCAGGTAGGCAAACTAAGAACTAACACTGGAGAGAGTGATGTGTACTGCTGCAATAAAAATACATGCATTTTTTTTTGCATGATGAAGAGGTAGTAGTAGTAGTAGTAGTAGTAGTAGTAATAATAATAATTAATAATAATAATAATGAAGTTGGAAGGGGTCTTGGAGGTCATCTAGTCCAACCCCCTGCTCAGGCAGGAAACCCTATACCATCTTAGACAAATGGCTGTCCAGTCTCTTCTTAAAAACTTCCAGTGTTGGAGCATTCACATCTTCTGGGGGCAGGTTGTTCCACTGATCAATTGTCAGGAAGTTTCTCCTTAGTTCTAGGTTGCTTCTCTCCTTGATTAGTTTCCATCCGTTGCTTCCTTGTCCTGCCTTCAGGTGCTTTGGAGAATAGCTTGACTCCCTCTTCTTTGTGGCAGCCCCTGAGATATTGGAAGACTGCTATCATGTCCCCACCTCGTCCTTCTCTTCGTTAAACTAGACATACCCAATTCCTGCAACCGTTCCTTATCTGTTTCAGCCTCCAATCCCCTAATCATCTTGGTTGCTCTTCTGTGTAATATCCTAATTGTAATATCCTGTACAATATCCTAATTTGTGTGTGAGCACACTTGTTTTCAGGAATTAGAACTAAGGGATGTTCTATTTAGTTGCGATTAATTGACCAGCGGCAAAGCTGTATCTCATATCAAGAGTGCAGAATTTGAATTCTTAAATGTCTTTATTTTTATTCATTTTAGGGAAAAAAAACATTATCCTTGTCTGGCAGAGGGAGATTTGAAAATGGACAGACAAGTGACCCCAAAGAGAGGCTTTCTTGAAGGGTCCTTGGTGCTTTCTGAGCTTGACTGATTTCTGGCAGGCATTTTATCACTTGCACTGCAGATAAAAAAATGCTGCACTGATGATGTTACCTAGTCTGGGTATTGAAACGTCTGCAAGAAAACATCCAAGCTTAGAGAGCACCGAGGGCCCTCATTTCAACTCTGAGCTACAAATATGCTCCTTTAGTGGTGAGGCTTTCTTGCCCAGAGATCTCTCTCTGTCTGTTTACTGCTAGTGCCATGAAAATCCAGAAAATCAGAAACCACTGTATAATTCATGTCTATGGAGATTCTCAGTCATCCAGGTCATGGTTGTCCCAAAGGTGCTTTTTCAAGAGGCAACTGGATTTTCTTGTGTTGTCTAAACTATAGAGTAGAAAATTTGCCTTTTTGTTGTTCTTTGCTCTTGTTGCGTTGTGTTAATTGTGCCTTCTTTGTAAATTGAAGAAAGTCCAGTTCTTCTTGAAAAAGCACCTTTGGGACCGCTGTATAATTCAGCACCAAGGAAAACTGAATTCCTTAGTTTAAACATAATAGCAATAGCACTTAGACTTATATACCACTTCACAGTGCTTTATAGTTTTCTCTAAGTCAGTGGTTCTCAACCTTTTTAATGCCGCGACCCCCAACCGGTCATAAGTCGAGGACTAAACCAGTCGTAAGTCGAGGACTAAACCGGTCGTAAGTTGAGGACTACCCAACCGGTCGTAAGTCGAGGACTTTCCCTGCCCGGGAGCGCCGTGTATGCGTGGTTCCGCCCCCTGCGCCGGCCGAGGCGTAGCTGGCAAGCGGCAGAGACGGAGCAGGCCGACCACCAGCTGGCCCAGCCCAAGGGAGGTAAGGCACCCGCCGGAAAAGGGGAAAAAAAATGGCGGACAGCCTTGCTTGGCGACCCCCGTGAAATGGTCGATCGACCCCAAATGGGGTCACGACCCATAGGTTGAGAACCGCTGCTCTAAGTGGTTTACCGAGTCAGAATATTACCCCCAACAATCTGGGTCCTCATTTTACCGACCTTGGAAGGACGGAAGGCTGAGTCAACCTTGAGCCGGTGAGACCCGAACTGCCAAACTGCTGGCAGGCAGGAGTCAGCAGAAGTAGCTTGCAGTGCTGCCTTCTAAAAACTGCACCACCAGAGTAAAGTATGTGACTTTACCCTGGAAACATAGAAAACCGATGGCAGAAAAAGACCTAGTGGTCCATCAAATTTGCCCTTTTGAGTTTTTTTTTATTTTATTTTTAAATTTGGTCAGATAATGGACATGGGTTTATCCCAGCGGTTCTCAACCTATGGGTCGTGACCCCATTTGGGATCGATCGACATTTCACGGGGGTCGCCAAGCAAGGCTGTCCGCCATTTTTTTCCCCCTTTTCCGGCGGGTGCCTTACCTCCCTTGGGCTGGGCCAGCTGGTGGTCGGCCTGCTCCGTCTCTGCCGCTTGCCAGCTACGCCTCGGCCGGCGCAGGGGGCAGAACCACGCATGCGCAGCGCTCCCGGGCAGGGAAAGTCCTCGACTTACGACCGGTTGGGTAGTCCTCGACTTACGACCGGTTTAGTCCTCGACTTACGACCGGTTTAGTCCTCGACCTACGACCGGTTTAGTCCTCGACTTACGACCAGGTGGGGGTTGCGGCATTAAAAAGGTTGAGAACCACTGGTTTATCCCAAGCAAGGAAAATAGTAGTGAAGTCTCAAAGCCATCCAGAATCTTTAGCTCAGTCTCTCATCCCTTCCCACAAAGAGGTTACTTCTGAAATTTCATCTTTTGTCTGCACATTTGTTTAAACGTGTTTGAAATCATGTTGAGGATTAGATGCTTTTGATCGAGAAAGTAATCCCACAGATGAGGAACGTGCAGGGCTTCAAATGGAGCCTCTCTCTTCTAAAGCCTTTTCCTTCCTCAAACTGCAAGTTGCAAGAGTCTGCTCCTTTTGAAGAGAAAATTGTTAAAGGAGCATACTTGCTCCTCTTGTTTGTCACTGCAACAACCTAAAGTAGGCATCTTCCATGCAGGAAGAGGCAGCAAGCATCACTCCTGCACAAGGGAACCTGATGGCACTAGCGCAGGGGTAGGCAACCTTGGTTCTTTTATGACTCGTGGACTTGAACTCCCAGAATTCCTGAGCCAGCATGGCTCAGCTTGGAAACCTCTCCCTTTCCCCTCAGCATGGCTGGCTCAGGAATTCTGGGAGTTGAAGTCTACGAGTCATAAAAGAGCCAAGGTTGCCTACCCCTGGACTAGGGCAATGATTTTCAACCTTGGCAACTTGAAAATGTGTGGACTTCAACCCCCCAGAATTCTCCAGTATTGTGGCTGGGAATTCTGGAATTGGAGTCCTAATAAAATAACAGAGTTGGAAGGGATCTTGGAGGTCATCTAGTCCAACCCCCCCTGTTCAAGCAGGAACCCCTATACCATTTCAGACAAATGATTGTCCGGTCTCTTCTTAAAGACTTCCAGTGTTGGAGCATTCACCGCTTCTGGAGGCAGGTTGTTCCACTGGTTAATTGTTCTAACTGTCAGGAAGTTTCTCCTTAGTTCTAGGTTGCTTCTTTCCTTGATTAGTTTCCTCCCCTTGCTTCTTGTCCTGCCCTCAGGCGCTTTGGAGAATAGCTTGACTCCCTCTTCTTTGTGGCAGCCCCTGAGATATTGGAACACTGCTATCATGTCCCCCCTCGTCCTTCTCTTCATTAAACTAGACATGTGCAATTCTTCATATGTTTCAGTTGCCAAGGTTGAGAAATTACGAACTAGAGAGTGGTGCTTCAGCTCAGTGAAGACATCTGGCCCAGGGCTGCATCCTGGCATTGTCCAGTCAGGATGACCTGGTTCTCAGGTCAGATACAATGTCCCAGTGATGCTCTGTCCCAGGAATGAATCCCACAGAGTGCTTGCAGCACTGGGCATTAAGATCTCATCCTACTTAATTTAAATTATAGCTATGTTTCAAGTACAGGGTTTCTGGCCTGAGCAGGGGGTTGGACTAGATGACCTCCAAGGCCCCTTCCAACTTTATTATTATTACTTTTACTACTACTACTACTACTACTTCTATTATTATTACTACTACTACTACTACTATTATATTATTATTATTATTATTATTATTATTATGATGATGATGATGATGATGATGATGATGATGATGATGATGATGATGATGATGATGATGATGATGATGATGTTTGAAGATTCGACTGAGTGCTTGGCTGGCTCTTTCTTCCTTCCTCCAGGCGTCCGGGTGCTGCGGCAGGACCCGGTGGAGTGCCTCTTCTCCTTTATCTGCACCTCCAACAACCATTTGTCCCGCATCACCAACATGATTCAACATCTGTGCCAGGCCTTTGGGCGCCGCCTCTGCCAGCTGGATACCAAGACCTATCATGCCTTCCCCTCACTGCAAGCCATGGCAGGTAAAACCTTAGGCCTCTAAGTTGCTTTGCGGCCTTTCCCTCCACAGACCGTCCTGCTACACCTCGGACTCCTCCTCCGCTTCCTGTCCTGGCCCCAAAAGAACGCTTCAGTGGCAGTAACAGAGTTGGAAGAGACCTTGGAGGTCATCTAGTCCAAGGGTAGGCAACCTTGGCTCTTTTATGACTTGTGGACTTCAACTCCCAGAATTCCTGAGCCAGCCATGCTGAGGGGAAAGGGAGAGGTTTCCAAGCTGAGCCATGCTGGCTCAGGAATTCTGGGAGTTGAAGTCCACGAGTCATAAAAGAGCCAAGGTTGCCTGCCCCTGCTCTAGTCCAACCCCTACTCTTGCAGGAGACCTGTACAATTTCTGATAAATGGCTGTCCAGTCTCTTCTCAAAAGCCTCCGGTGTCCTTAAAAAAAACAAACCTCCAGTCTCTTCTTAAAAGCCTCCAGATGACATCAAAAAGAAGTGCTCTTCTGCCTCCCCACGTCAAAAGACATTTGCTACATTCACACTCCTGCTTCAGGGAAAGCTGCCCTTTATCCAACCATTCCCCTGGTTGCGTGTCTTTCCCCTGTCTTCCAAGATCATTCCCACATACCATTATGGATCCTGACGTGCCTGTTACAGCCTAGGCAATGAGTCGAGTTCCAACCAGGCAGCATGGAGGATGGAGGAGTCTATGGAGATTCTCGGTCATCCAGGTCATGGTTGTCCCAAAGGTGCTTTTTCATGAGGCAACCGGACTTTCTTTTTTCCTCTTTGAAGATGTTTCACTGAAGAAGCTTCTTGGATGAGAAGCAAAATGTCTTCAAAGAGAAAAAAGGAAGTCCAGTTGCCTCATGAAAAAGCACCTTTGGGAAGGATGGAGGAGTTTATTGAGACAGGCCTGATCAGGTAAACCAGGAGTATCCAGCCTTGGCAACTTTAAGTCTTGTGGACTTCAACTCCCAGAATTCCCCATGCTGGCTGGGGAATTCTGGGAGTTGAAGTCCACAAGTCTTAAAGTTGCCACGGTTGGGCACCCTTGCAGTAGATACTTTCTCTGAAGGCTTCTCCTTGTCATCCTCTGGCATCTGCCATCTCCCTCATCCTTCTCCTCCAACTCTCACACCTGTTTCTTTCTTCCAAGCAACCTTTATGCTTAACAAGACTGAGTCCGCAAGAACTGGGGCTATCTCACATAAGTTGATGATTTCTCTTCATTACACAATAGGGAAGTTCTTAGTTGATGTCAAGCAACTTTTGCAGTGTTTGCAGAATACCATAGGGGAGAGTGTGAGAACACTCTTTTTAACCTTCCTGT